TATTATTATATTATTATTATTTGATCTTTTTGGACAGGGTCTCCCTGTAGCCCTAGCTGGCCTTGAACTCACAGAGATCTGCCTGCCTCTGCCTCCTGAGTGCTGGGATTAAAGGTGTGTGCCACCATGCCTAGCTGTGTGTCCCTTCTTAAAAATCTCACAGAAAAGGGGAGGTTTGGAGTAGTCAGATCATCTCTTGATTCTGCAGACCACAGGAGGAATTCTGCTGTAGGATATAGACTTAGCATTTCTTTCTGGAAGGTCCAGTACTGGGACCTGGGAACCTGTTACAGATTCAGATAGACTTTCCATAGGATTCTTTTGTCAAAAGTTATTATTTTATGCATGAGTATTTCACCTGCATGTATGTGTACCACATGTGTACAACGCCCACAGAGCCAGAAAAGGGTGACAGATTACCCTGGAACTGGAGTTACAGATGGTTGTTAGCAGTTGTGTGGGTGCTGGGAACTGAACCTGGGTCCTCTGCAAGAGCAGCCAGTTCTCTTAACCACTGAGCTGTGTCTCCAGCCCCTCCACAGGGTTCTTGCCAGTAGGTAAGAAGCTGCAGGTGAGCATGGCTTGATGAACCCCTAGTTTAAATGTACCAGCTGTGACCCTGAAATTCCTGGTAACTGTCTTGGTGATTTCCATGAGGATTTTCGAAGGCAATATAATCAGGAAATTCTGTTTTCTTTCTTTAAACACAGGCACCCTTGGTTACAGACCTCAGTAAAATGGCACCAAACACCACCCTCTTCAAAGGGCTGACGGCCCCCAGGGAGCGAGGGCTCCATCTGGTCTTCGCCGGGCTCTGTGGCTTCATCCTGCTTGTGGGGCTCCTGGCTAATGGACTCCTGCTGATGATGGTGACCCGTGGACCTCGCAAGCCACACCCACATTTGGCACTAACTGCCAGCCTCATGGTGAACGTGATGCTGTCCGACTTGTTTTTCCTGATCTTCGTGGTGTCCACCCTGCTACTGAGCTTCCTGAGCTGGGACTGGTGGCTGGGCCCTGCCATCTGCACCGCCAGCCAGGCTGCCAACACGGCCACCATGTTCTGTACTTTCTACAGCATGGTAGCCACTGCCCTTGTGCGCCACGTGGCCGTGGTCTGGCCCAACGTGGCCCTCCCAGCTGGCCGAGGCACCTGCCTGCTGCTCTGCGGAGCCATGTGGGCACTGGGCCTGGCTGCCTCGCTGCCCAACTGGCTGTTCCAGCGGGTGGCAGTAAGAGAGGAGGCAGTGGGCATCCCTGAGGGCCTGGCCTGCCTCCTGCTGCTCAACCCGGCTCAAGCTACCTGTTACTTCACGCTCCTGGGAGCCCTCGCCTTCCTGCCCTGCCTGGTGGGCCTGGGCTGCTCTTTTGGCCATGTGGGCTGGCTCTTGTGGACGCGGCCCTTAGGTCCCAAGGGGGAGAGTGTACGTGAGCACCAGGAGAACACCAGGCTCATCCTTGTGGTGCTGGGGGTCTTTGTGCTGATGTGGGGACCCTGCTGCGCACTGGGCTATGTGGCCGCTGTGGGCCGCCTGCCTGCCACACCACTGACTTTCGTGGCCTCCAGCCTGTGCACCCTGCTAGCCTACTCCAACTGTGCTGTCAGCCCCATCCTCTGTTTTTGCCTCTGTCGCCCTTTCTGGGTGAGACTCAGGGCCCTTTTCCGCAGGCCTAGGATAGCCACGCTTCCCAGGGTGGTGGGAGGGGTCTGGCCGTGATGGGGGCCCTGAAGCCTGAAGAGGGGGTGGCCCAAATCCAAGAAGCTGGACCTCACGATCCAGAGAGGGAAGTGGGACGCTCAGACACCTGTGGGGGTCCCAATCATCTTATTTTGTCATCTTGGCTCCCTGAACCCCCTGAGCCTCGGTGTTCTCTTCTGAACAGTGGGACCAGAGTACCTTCATTTCTTCATGGGGTGGCTCTGAAGAGGAACTTAGTAATCACGTGTAAAGAGGGGTGGTGGGGAGAAGGGGGTTTGGCAAGCACAAGGAAGTGGGCGGTACCACAAAAATGTCACTTTTTTTTTTCTTTTTTTTTGAGACAGGGTCTCCCTGTAGCCCTAACTGTCCTGGAACTCACTATGTAGCCCAGGCTGTCCTTGATTTCACAGAGATCCACCTGCCTCTGCTTCCCAAGTGCTGAGATTAAAGGTGTGGCCAGCATGATGCCATCATTTTGCTTTTTGTAATTCTGGGCATTTGAGACGAGTAAACAAAAGAGGGCGGAGAAGGGACCAAACTGGGGCTCCTGGTATTCTTAGTCTGGAAGGTGGGGGACAAAGGGGCAGACAGGACAGGGTCTCTTTCAAGGGCCTCTCCTCCCCCCTAGAGCCCAACTCAGGGTCTCCATGTCTCCCACCCATGTCTGAGAAGTTCCCTCCCTCTGCCTCATCCGAACCTCGGCTTTTGCGTTATCCCAGAAACAAGGGAGGTTGTGTCTATTATTCCCAAGACAGTTTGTACACACACACACACACACACACACACACACACACACACGCAAGCACGCACGTATGGTGTGGTCAAAGACCTCAGGATCTATTGTGTTGAATCAAGCCAAACCCGTCTCTGCTACAGGGCTTGTCAGAGCCCTGGTAGCTGCTGAAGGCCACTGAGGCTCTCAGAGAGGAAGTCAGAGTAAACTGCTGCCCCGACTCCATGCCAGGGACCGGGAATTCTGCAGAACACACCTTGGGAAAGACCCCAGCAGAGAAAACAGCGTCAGGCACTACAAAGATGCTTTTGGTGCCCCATCCCCTGGGGGCAGCAGCACCGTGTCTTGATTCCCCTGCCAGGCAGATGCCTCCTCCCCAGATTCCCATGGGCCCCAAGGTGATGGAAAATGGGCTGTGGGTTATGGGAACTTCCCTTCTCTCAGGCGTAACCCCACCCCATTCCCACTCAAAGTGTCATGCGAATCACAGGAGCATCTGATTATAGGGACAGCTGTGAGTCACCTCTAATTTACCATGAAGTCATCTGATGTAAAGAGGCTCCAAATTTGGGGAATAATTAGTACTGAATTCCTTCTGGTGTGCAGGCTCAGCATGGCTGCCCAGAGGGCTGACTGACCGGATAGTGTGAGAGAGGAGAGAGAGAGGAGAGAGAGAGAGAGAGGAGAGAGGAGAGAGAGAGAGAGAGAGAGAGAGAGAGAGAGAGAGAGAGAAAGAAAGTACCTGTCTCTCCATGATCCTGGTCACTGATGGTCTGACCCATGAAGGACAGAGAAAGATGCCTCTTACTGTGTGCCTACAGTACAGTGGGTCCTGGGTGCAAATTACACATATTACTGCCTCTATCTATCCCAACTGTCACTACGCTGGGCACACAGTCACACAGGCTGGATTCGGATCCCTCTGGCTCCCCGAACTCCCAGCCCCTTCTTCTGGCTTGGCTCTGCTGCTCCCAGGTGGCAGATGTAGCCCCGAGGGTGACACTATGCAGTGAGCCAACACGTGAAACTGATGCTCTGTAAATACTTGTTGAGAGACGAGAAAATGAGTGATCGAATGTGATAGTGAGCCGCCCACTGGGGAGATTCTGTCTTGTGTGCTCTCACTTCCTCAATGATTCCCTATCTCTCCAGAGCAAACGTCAAAGGCCTTGCCACTGACCACAAGGCCTCCTCCTCCCTGACCCCATCTCCTGCATCCTTATCCCTAACTCAGCTCCTGCCACACTGACCTCCTTGCTCACCCTACTTCAGACACACTGAACTATCCCGGGCCCTTTGCACTTACTAATCTTGCTAACTGGTGTCCCCCTTCCTCAGGTCACAGCATGACTTCCCAACTTACTTCCTTGGGACTTTCTTGGACTGTTACCACCTGACCATGGAAAACTCCACTTCTATCTTCACGTTCTCTTTCATTTTTCCCTGACTCTTACCACCACCTCAAGCCTGGCTACTGACCTGAGCGTCCCCATATCTACTGTCTCCCCCGATTCTTGCTGTCTCCCCAGCTTACGTGATATTTGTGGGAAGCAACATCTGACACCAGGCCTGTGTTTCGCCCCCTGCCACATCTCCATAACCCAGCACAGCCTGGGTGGTGGCTGCTCAGTAAAGCCTGCCTGAACCAGAGCACCAGGCAGCCGAGCGGGGGTGGGCCCTGGTGAGCCGCAGCCGTGTTTTCACAGAAGAGGAACAGGGCTCTACTAAAAGAACCAGATTTACTTCAGTTTAAGGCAAGTTCCACAGAGACAGTCTCAGAGACAGGCACAGGACCAAACAGTAGTAAGACCACCACCACCATGCATGACAGAGAGAGGCGAATGGGGGCGGGAGACGGCAGGCGGGGACCCCATGCGGCAGGAGGGACACATGCAGGACCTGCCCCAGAAGACAAAGGATGGCGGCCAGTGGGGTGACCTTGGGTTGTGACAGCCCCTTGTCTACCTTCCCACAGCAGGGGCAAGAGCTCCAGCTCGGACGCCAGAGTTCAAGGACAAAAGGCTGGGGGTGTAGGGGGTGACAGGAGGCTACTGGGTGACCCCAGAGCCGAGACAGCTTGGGTATGGGTGGTGCTGGTGAAGAGGAGGATGGGGAGGCTGGGTGTGGGATGTATGGACCCTTAAGATGGCTCAACTGGAGGAAACCAGCCCACCTGATCAACTTTGTTATCACAGACACTGAGACCCAGAGAGCAGAGGCTACATTGGGTTCCTACACGGGGTTGTGGGGAGGGACAGGCTTAGGGTTTCTGGCTCCTGTCCCAGGCCACTGAGGGCTGAGGGCAGGAGAGAGTGGGAATACAAGGGCTGGCCCTGTGCCTGGTAGGTTTGTGGCCTCTAGGGTGAGCAGGAGACCTCTAGAGCCACAAGTAGGGCTCCAAAATAGAAAGCCTGTAGATTTGCATTTAGAACATTCTAGCATACCATTAGGCCTACAAGGCTCCTGAAGGGGCTCTGTGCTAACAAGACTCCACTTCTAGCCCAGCCTGGGCCCTGGGATCTATGACAGTCCCATTGGGCCCACAGGACTCAATGGCGTCCCTGGGAGGGTCACACATATCCTTGAAGGCCCACTAGCCTTGGGGTTGGCTGGAAACAGGGCAGGGGATTACTCATAGGAATAGGGACACTAAACACCAGGGTGGGAGGAGAACGGGGCAGGAGGAGAACCAGCCAGGAACAGGGAAGCAATGGGATCGCCCTGGGTGGGTTAGGAGATCCCACATAAGCCCAGAACCCTGTGCACCCCTTCTGTCTACTAATTCCCCCCCAGGTCCCTAGGTTTTGGCGGGAAGTGAAGGCAGAGGCTAAGACGCCCTGCCCCTTGTCAACCCCCCTAAGCAGAATCTGGGCAGGCCACTTCTGGGAGAGTGGGGCCTTTGCCCACCCTCCAGCCCCCCACTCCCCAGCCAGCACAGTCAGCCTCAGATGTGTGTATGAAGTGGGGACCCAGAGGGAGAACCAGCGGGAGACTGCGGCAGCGATGACACAGGGACAGTGGGAGGAGGGCGTGGACGGATGCCCTGGGCTTTCATGTAGGACACCAGCTGATCGGGGATCTCGGCCAGCACATCCCGAGCCAGACGGGCCATGCTTAGCACATGGTTGCCAGTGCGGTCCACGTAGTCCCGGAAGGGCACAAACTGGCAGGTGGAAGGTGGGGTCAGGATGGGGCTCCCCTCCCCTGCTGCCTCCCAGACTTAGTCCAGTACACCCAACCTGGCCTTGGTGAGTTCCTCAGTGGCTGTCCCTGCTCTGATTTACTCATCCTGACTCTGTGCCTAGACATCCCACTCCCACTCCCCAGTGCCAGCACCCCTTCATGACCCCAGCACTCAGCACAGGGGTTGTGAGGCTGCTGGGAAAAGCTTTCTGAATTCCACCTCCAGCTTTCCTTCCCCTCACCATCCACCCCCAGAAGGCCCTCTCTGTCTCCCAGGCCCCCTTCTCTAAACCCACACCTGAGGCCAGGCCCCTCTGGCTTCCTCTCAGTGCTGCCTGAGACAGTACTGCCTACTGGGATACTAAGGAGTGTCGCTGCCTTCATCTGCAAGGGGTCTTTATACCACCGGAAGGTCACAAGGCATAGACCACAGAACGTGCGTGAACATTGACCCCTGAACTCAGGAGGGAGCCTGGCACAAGGCACGAGGGGTGGGGGGGTGCCTCATGAGAATAGTGCTGAAGATGGACTTCCAGGGTCCCTTCCCAGGGAGCCTGCAGAGGAGCGGTGAGGTCAGCCTGGCTAGAGGTACCTTCCCATTTGGCTGTTTGGCTACAGGGAGGCAGGGTCTACCTTACCTGGACAATGTCCCGCTCAGCCAGCTTCCCCCGGGAGGATATCCGCACGTCGTCACCATCTAGCTCCACCATAGCTGTGGGGACAAGTAACATGTGTGTGTGTGTGTGTGTGTGTGTGTGTGTGTGTGTGTGTGACAGAGGTGTGTGTGTGTGTGTGTGTGTGTGTGTGTGTGTGTGACAGAGGCTGCCTATACCTGGCAGGACTCCAGTCTAGGACCCCTGCCCCCATGACAGAGAAACAGGCCAGGAGTCAGGTGGAGTCCAACCTGGTAGGCTTGTGATTGTAACTAGGGCCCTGATGCCCCCTGTCCAGGCTCCTTGGCTGGAGGACTGGCACAGCCCCTGGATGAGGATGAAGAGGGTATGGGCACTAACACACCCTCCCAGGGCCCACAATGCTATGCAGACTGCAGGCCTGGGCATGAGCTCTTGTCATAGAGACCAGATGCTGTGGCACATCCTGGGGAGGATAGCTGGGAAGAGGGTGCTGGACTCACCATCGAACTCCGCCTGGCCCACACCTACGATGATGATGGACATAGGGAGTTTGGCGGCCTAGAAGATCACAGGGGAGGAAGTCCCATGTGAGGGACAGTTAACAGAAGTCACAAGTAGGGACAGGAAGGCAGGGCAAATGGAGAGGGTGGGGCACAGAGAGCAAGGATGGGATCCCAGAGGAAAGGGGCAGGATAGAGGAAGAGGAATGCGGGGGTGGGGGGGGGAGTCAGAAGAGGGAGCTGGGTTGACTTGCCTGTAACCATCCACCCCATGCTGGGACTCTGCCTTCAGGGGCCAGAGCATCTATAGTTGGGGCCCCTTTTATAGGGAGACCATGGGGTAAGGGTTAGGGAGGGGAGCTTCCCCATGCTGGGCCCCCCACCTCCTCTACCTGACCAGGCTAGCTGGTATCTGGGGTGACTGAGGGAGCTGTGGACCCCCCTGCCCCCAGAACCACCTTCATAACTAAGAGATCTGATCTCTCACAGACCCAGGGCTGATTCCATCCCCCATCCCCCAATCCATGCTCCTCCCACAAGTTCCCCAACACTCTGTGGCCAGCAACCAGATGAAGGCAGCCGGCTACAGGGGGGCAGGGAAAGAGGAAGCCACGCCTTAGCCCCACCCCAGCTATACCCAAGGTTCCTCAGGGGGAGGAAGCAACCTTTCAATCCCTCCAAATGTGTGTATGTGGGTGTACATGTGTGCCACCCTCTGCTCACGTTCACAATGGCTTCCTTGGTCTGTGCCATGTCTGAGATGACACCATCGGTGATGATGAGAAGCACAGAATACTGGGAGCCATCCTGAACAGCTGCAGCATTCCTGTGGGGTGGAAGGGGGTGGTAGGCATGGACTGAACAGTGTCCTGGGGCCTCTGTCCCAGGCCCCCCAGCAAGGCCCCTGAACACTTCAGTGGAAGAGATACTCCCTGCCACCCTCCAGTGGTGCTCTGTGAGGGCCGGCAGCCCCCAGGCTCACCTGGCCACATGCGTGACAACAGGGGCAAAGTTGGTGGGGCCGTAGAGCTGCACAGTGCGCAGGCTGCTGTGGTAGGCCTCCAGGATTCCATCAATGCCGCAGCACGAGGGGTTCTCCTGGTTGCCGTTCTGGGGCAGAGAGGATGGGCAGGCTGAGCTAGGGAGGCAGGGGGCAGCAGAGCCAGGGCTGGACCCAGGGAGGCAGCAGGGAGACAGTCAGGTTAGATCCATTAAGGCCAAACTAGGGCTGGGTCCAGGGAAGCAGAGGGGAGAAAGAGCTAGGGCTGGGCCCAGGGAAGTGTGGGGAAGGCAGAGCTAAGGCTGAACCCCAGGAAGCAGGGGGTAGTCAGAGCCAAGGTATCTTAGTTCAGCCCAGGTCTCAACACACGCACACAGCAGCACCCACGGAGCTTACTCCTAAAGTTCTCAGGCTGGATGGGGATTGGACATATATCCCCCATAGCTTGGTACCAGACTGGGCCCTCCTACCAGTGGGAACTCGTGGGACACCCTGCCATCCGGTGGCAGCTTGGCCCCAAAGCCCAGGGCAGGGAACATCTTGTCGCTGTCATAGTGTTGGATAATCTCCCCAACGGCGGTCAGCGCCAGCGCATAGGCATTCAGCTGGTAGGGGCTCATGTAGTGCAGGGACGTGGACTGCGAGGGGTTCCCTGTGACACAGGACATAGGGACATCTGTTGGCCTGAACAGGATGCAGAAAGGGGTGTCCACCAGCACCCCTAACCATTTATTCTTGACCCCTTTCCATTTGATCCTTCAGGAAAGCATGGCTGCTGGACCTTCAGAACAGATCCAGAATCCCTCTCTTCCTGGAGGCCACTGTGCTCCCTCCTGAAGGCCCTGCCCAACCTCTGCCTGTGATCCACGCTCTTCCCACCAGTCTGCCAGACCCCATTCACTGAGGTCAGATCCTCTGCTTCAAGCATCCTGTGCCCTCATCTCACTCAGATCAGCTCAGAGCCCACACGCCACAGGATCCCAGCAGACCTGGCCTCCAGTTCCCCCCTCCCAGGCCCTGAGTTCTACGGCTGCAGTCTTTACCAATTTCAGGTCTACCACAACTTTGGCAATGGCTGTTCTCTCTCCTGGATGCTTTTCCCAGATGTTCACATAGTTCACCCCCTTGTCTCTGTTCAATTGTCACAGTCCCAGTGCGGCCTTCCTTGAAGGCCCCCTCCCCCATGCTCCTTTTCTCTCTTACTGTGATATCCCTGTTGTCCTTGTCAGCTCTAGGGTCCAGATTTCATTGACCTGTTCATTACCAACAACAGGCAGGGCACCACCGCTGTCTCCACCCCTTATTAGCTGTGTAATCTTAACCTCTCAGCCTTAGCCTCCTCACATGTAAAATGGGGGGTAATCACCCCCACCCCTCAGATATCAATGGAGACTAAACATGTGCTATTAGACACCCCCGCTGTGTAATCTTAACCTCTCAGCCTTAGCCTCCTCACATGTAAAATGGGGGTAATCACCCCCACCCCTCAGATATCAATGGAGACTAAACGTGTGCTATTAGACACCCCTTCCCCATTTTCCTGAGCTTGTGTGGTGTATACATGCACACGCATTGGAGGTCCTAGGTTGATGTCAGGAATCAGCCCCAATTTGCTCTTCTACCTTATATATTGAGGCAGGGTCTCTCAATCAAACCCAGAGCTCATCCATATAGCTAGTCTCACTAACCAGCTTGCTCTGGGGATCCTGTCTCCACCTTCCGAGGCTGGAATTATAGGTAGCCACCATACCCACCTGGCAGTTACATAGGTTTTGGGGATCCAAGCTGTGGTTCTCATGTGTAAGTGGCAAGCACTTGAACCACTAGGCCATCTCCCACTCAGAACTGTCTTCTTTGTCATTGATCCTAGGACCCTCCCAGCTATGACAGCCCAGCACTCATGAGACTAGGTCCTGTGGATATACAGGATTTCTGACACACTCTAGGAGGCCGACACCTGGAAGTCTTCTGACATAAAAAGGAACACAGTACACCCTGGTGTGCATGTGTGTCGGGAGGTATGTAGCCCCTCCACCCTCCAGACTCCCCCAAGTCCAGGGCACATTGGTATAGTTAGTATCATCTGACCTGGAGAGGCCTCTGCCATCTTGATTGTATCTTTGATTCTCTGGACCTATGAGTCTCCTCTGACAAGGAATACTGCATAGCAATTTCCTACAAAATTCTACCCCAGAAGAGTAAACAACTCACAAGTCTCAGGAAGTCCCTGAAACTTATCAAATACCCAACATTGTATAAGTTGTAAGGACCATTGAGAGGAGACTCTGACCTGTTGAGCTGCCTACAAATCATGCAGAGAGCTCTAGGGTCCCAGCTTTCATGAGCCATCACCCATGCATGTAGGCATTCAGTGATGCATCTGGCTTTGAGTAATCCATGCTTCTGTGACCCCTCACCCATACTCCTGTTAGCAACCCCAATAAACTCACTGATTCTCCCAACTGGATTTTGGTGATACTGTTACTTTGGTCTGTCGTTCTTCCCTATCTAGGGTGAGTAGATGTTTTGCACATCTAAGAACATCTAAGGAAGAAGAGGACTATGAGGATCTGGCTCACAGTCCTAAGATGCCCACACTGCACCCTCCTGCCCCACTCACCATTGGAGGCGGTGAAGTCAATGGCCACGGTGAAGTTGATCTGGGTCCTAAAGAGGAGAACACCTGAGTCACCTGGAGAGGGACAGGACTGTGGGGAGGGCAAGTGCTGGGCAGCACTGGGCAGGAAGGGAGAAGACACTGGGCACCTCTGGCCTCAGGGAAGGCATTCTGAGAGCAACAGCTCTGAGAAGCTAGGACAACTATGCCAGCCCCACCCTCATTAGGCATCAGAGGTGGGCATGCAAGAGCTCGCTGGAGATTGTGCTCCATGTGGGCATGGCTCTACAGAGAGAGCTGCTGTTATTTCCTCCCACCCCAATCCTGACCATGTGGAAGGTGAGGTTGGGCTCCCTGGGTTTCTGCTTCAAATTTGGAGTCATATTCAAAGTTAGAACAAGATGAAGAGTCAAATATTCACTAAGCACCTCTGGAGGGAAGAGCACAACACAACCCATAATGCTGCCTGGCCAAAATCTCAACCCTGAATCTGGCAGAGCCTCCAACACTTTCTATGAGGTTCTTTCTTTGGAGATTGAATCTCACTATGCAGCCTTAGCTAGCCTAGAACTTGCTATGTAGACCAGGCTGACGTCAAACCCATAGTTTGCCCAGCCCAGTCTGGGATTAAAGGTATGCACCACCACACCCAGACTCTACCAGGTTCTTTTTTTTTTGGTCTTTTTAAGACAGGGTCTTCCTGTAGCCCCAACTGTCCTGGAACTCACTATGTAGACCAGGCTGGCCTAGAACACACAGAGATCCACCTGCCTCTGCCTCTGAGTGCTGGGATTAAAGGTGGGTACCGCCACGCCCGGCCCTCTACCAGATTCTTATAGAAAATACAGGGGACAGAGAGGGACAAGCTAAATGTTGTCACAGAAGATGCAGTCAGCAAATTCCTGTCTATTGGAAACTGCATAGGAACACAACAGGAACTTGAGAATCATGGGTTCCTTCTGAACCCCTCTAGAATCACATCTCTTGCAGGTGCTAGAATCTGTCTTTGCAAGTCCTTCAAATACTGGGGGAGTCTTAAGATGAAAACAGAAGTGAGAGAGAAATCCACCAATCAGTACTTGGAGCTTCCCTGGATTTTAGACTCAACCAATTTGAAAAGGTTTGAAGACAATCAGGGATATTTGAATGCTGACTAGATTCTGGTATTAGGGAACTGTGTTTTTAGTGATCATGGTATTATTATTATGGATTGTGGGTTATTTTGTGATCATGGTATAGCGACTTCTTTTTATTAAAAAATTTAACTTCCATGTCTTTTACATTTGAGAAATTTTTTATAAAAATTTAATTATGTATATTTGGGGGTGTGTATATATTAGTGCAAGTGCTGCCCGACACGGCTGTTGGGAACTGAACTTGTGTCCTCTGCAAGAACAGCAGGCATTCTTAACCCACTGAGCCATCTCTCCAGCCTCTAAATTGTGACAGGGTCTCCCTGTAGCCCTAGCTGGCCTGGAACTCGCTATGTAGATCAGGCTAGCCTCAAACTCACAGAGATCTGCCTGCCTCTGCCTCCCAAATGTTAGGATTAAAGGTGTGCACTACCACACCTGGAAAACTTCTAATATTTTTAATTTTAAAGACTTATGTGTGTGTGTCTGTATATGGGTATGCACATGTGAGTGCAGGCACCCTCAGAGGCCAGAAGAGGACATCATAGTTATAAGTGGTTGTGAACTGCCCTATGTGGATGCTGGGAATTGAACTTGGGTCTTCTGAAAGAACAGAAAGTACTTTTAATGGTTAAGCCATCTCTCTGGCTCCCATGGCTATGTTTTACCATGAGAGAGTCCTCACATTCTGTAAGTATCTCTTGCAGGACCTAGGGACAGATAAGGCTGAGATTTCCTTCATCAGAGGTGGGTGAGGGGCTCAGTGGGTTGGTTAGAAGCTGGGCAGGCCTTAGGGTTCACTATTCCTTCTTTCCACTCCAACAAATGTTGAAAATTTTCATAATGAAGTCAGCTTGTAGGATTTGCATTCAGAGTTGACCTCTGGCCAGATGCAGACAGAACAAAGCTGACTGGGATGAGGGTCCTGATGGAGTCTTGTCTGTGGTTCTCACACTGCTGTGAGCAGGGAACCAGAGGGGTCTGCTCAAGAAGGTTCCAGATCCCCTCCTCCAGATGGGTCAATTCAGTTGGTCTGGGATGAGGGCTTAGAATCTGCTTAACAAAAATCCAAGGGTCCTGAGGAGGGATTCTGGGGTCACACTGAAGGAAGCTGCCTTGCCTAGAGCTGTGAATACTGTGACAGGCAGGCTCCATCTCACCTACACTTAGCAGGAAGCCCCTGTAAGAAACCCCAGCTTTCTTGCCACCCAGTCACAGCCAAGCTGTGGCATGCAGGATCTTTGTCCCCTGGGAAAGGGCAAGGACATGGCCCATAGGAGACAAGTAAGGTCTGCTGGCCAGTGGCAGCCCTATCTTTCTGCTGGCTGGGGCAGAACATCCCCTAGACTCCAATCTCAAGGAGAAGAACCACAAGACAGCAAGAGCCTGGGCCCCTGAGTGACTTTGGATCACTGCCAGATACTTGTTTGAAGCCTGAGGTTGGGATTCCTTGCTGTGACATCAGACCTGCCCTTTGCTGGCATCTCTCAATGTGGAATACAGAGTGTCTTTGTTAGAGGAAGGGAGACACAAGAAAGACAAAAGCCCCGTGTCTGGGGCCATACTTGGGAGGGTGGCTCTGCCCTGCAGGTCTACATCAGGTCAGTGATTGCAAAATCAGGGTAAGAGTAGTTCTTTCCAGCTCAAGGCCACAAAAATACAGGGGAGGGAGCAGCTAGAAAGCAGGTGCTTTGTGGGAAAACAACTCCAGGCAGCCCAGCTGCTCCTGCTTCATTGCTCCTGATACTGGATTGAGGCACCCGCATCCTTCTTCCTCCAGGGTCCTGTGGGCAGGGAAGGGAGCCCAGGGTCCCTAAGCAACTGCCTCTGCCAGCCTCCTGCCTGGACATGCTCCGGGGTTCTCTCTGTTCTTCCTGTCCATGGTCATCTGTCTAACTCAGGTTCTGCAGGGAGTTCTGCTCCAGCTCTGTCTCATGCCTCAGGTGCCAGGAGCCCTCTGCCTCCTCAGCCTCAAAACCCCATGGGAAACAGCGGGTGAGGCCAGAATTACTAATTACACTGGAACAAAAGGCAGCATGCAGTGCTGGTTGGAGCTGGGTCACCAGGCTGGAGCTTGTAAAACTGAGATAAGGTCCTCAGCTGCTGGTTTACGGGGCACTGGGGGCTGGGGGGGGGCATATGCAAATGATGGACTAACAGAATGAAGCTTGTTTTGAAAAGTACCAGGTGCAATGGAATGGGCTGGTTGTTTAATAGGATAGAGAAGGGAGAGTTTTTCTTGTTTTTTTTTTCTTTTTTTTTTAA